ATTCACCCTGAGAATGACTGTTTTGTTAGTTTGTAGATGGTTTCATATTGTAGTGACTGAAATTGAAACTGAAAATTGTTTGCAGTTCCAGTTGAGTCATATGTTTTGTTAAGAAGTCTAACGCAGGGTTTAGACAGCACAGCAATGCAACACACTTTGGTTCTGCTAGAGGGCGCCAGCTAATACTCAGCAGTTGTCCATCTCTTAATTCAGTGGTAACACTTCAGAAGCAGCTAATTAAATGAAAAGCCTGTGGGGGTAATAGAAGTGTCCCCCTATTGTTCACTGTAAAATATGGCATTGTCTGCTTGTGAATAATGAAATGGGGCAAGTTGGTGTAGTTAATTACCCATTATGTCAGCCATGCAGATGACCCCAAGACCAGTCTCCTCTGGTGGAGAGCAGACAGATATCAAATTATTTTACGAGCTGCCCATAACTACTGCCTAATAAGACTTTAATTACCTGATGGATATTGGGGCATTTCCTTTATCGGCGAGTAGGAGTGAGGAACCAATCAAAAGAAGGGACAGAAATGCAATACTGTTTGCTGTAATCTGTTGCATCATTGCTGACTAAGTAAGCCGATATTTAAAAAATAAAAAGACGGAGAGGAGAAAATAGCCGTCAGGACTGCATTTGGAGAGATGGAGGTCCGAACCTTCCTACCGTGTCCTCGGTAAATGAAATACAAATCACTGTTGGCTTTGGGGTTTTTATTTCATCTGCTAAGTGCTACATTACCTCATGCCTTGGACCTGACAATGGATTTCCCATAAATCCCCTGGCGGCCGAAATGACAAACACGCTCACATATCACGGACCGTGGCAGCGCCTATTAGCACTTGAGAAGTTATCGATCAGCCGCTTAATCTGTCTGAGGGGTCCTCCTATGGCTCTCCTTTGGCCGGCTCTGCCCACGACCCTGTTGAACCTCTCGTTGTCAATTAGCCTGGCTCAATTCAGACTGCGGCCGGCGAACTCCACAACCAGAAACGTCCACTTCAGAGTCACACAGTTACCTTCGAGCATAACTATGTTTTTAGCCCTGTGCATCACCTTAGCTCTTCAAATAAAACATCAAACCTCAATATGATACTTTAAGCAGGGCTATGAAAGGTTCTTAAGGTTATGGTTATTATCCTGTAGCTTAAATGAGCTAATTAGCTGGCTTGGCAAGCTTTTTTGAATTTGTTGAGAATTCTGAGCGAAGCCTGCGAACACAGGACCTGGGAAACATGAGTCTGTTTTCTAGAATTTTCCATGAGCAAATAAAGATTCCTGGGAACATAGGGGTGTCCCCTCAAATGGAACATCCTCACCTCAGCAACAAAGCTACAATTTCTCGATCACGCGCTTTTCCACTGCATGGTGCAACTCGACTCGACTCAAGTCTACTCACTTTTGGTACCAGCTACATCATAGCGCCCCCTTAATGTAGCCGGTCATGATAGTGTCAGAGCCGGGTTTATGAAGAGCCTGGCCACTTCCTATTTCCCTCATTATGTCAAAAACATGACTGCAAAACAGCAGAGGGCGCCCACGAGCGAGTCCTCAATGAATGGGTGTGAAATGAGCTAAACAACTAAAAATGAGAAGTTGAAACAGTTTCTAATCACTCGCCCAGAACTTTCCTTTGGTTTTAGAAAGTAGAAGGACGTATTTCACTAAAAAAGCAAAGAAAACATGCTTGAATTAGGATCTCCAGTTCTAAGTGATCTTACTCTGGGAAAAATAAATGCCGTTTTACTGAATCGCCACAGTCTCACCCTGAAAGTAAGTCTCTTGTACTTCAGTACTAATATATACATATATTAGCTTAGCTTAGCTACCAAAGCTTGCTGGTTTTTGTGGGGTATTTTGGAGAGATTGCCAGTTTTATACTGTCAGTTCATTGTACAGCAGTGTTAGCTTGTAGCAACATTTATATTTTCACTACACACAATTTAGTGGATTCTCCCAAATAATAAGAGGATAGGGGGCAACTGTTGGCCCACTGACAGCAAAGCTAGCAGCCCAGTGGATATTTGCTGAGCGTTTTCCAGGCGGCCCACTGGTGGTTAAGCAGAGTGTTAGACAAAATTCCACTTTTCATTCCACATTTTCCACCCACCGTCGAATTTACTTACTTTTCCTTCATGTCTTTCTTTCGTTATCCTTTGTAAATTAGTACGTAATCTTAATCTAGCGCAATATCAGCTGCTACATTCCCAACACAATCATTTTATATTACGCCTAGTTGTTATTTTTCTCTCACTAGTTTGTAATGTTCATCTTAGTTTATTTTTCAAAATGAAAGTCTGTGCTAATTTAAAATCTGTTTGAGGAAATTAAAAACTAGTTTGACGTTGTATGCAGGACCACAATCTGGGTGGTCCGAGGGTGGACCAGGAGTGGCATACAGTCAGCAGGGCACCAACCTTATCAGGCCAGCCAACCGATGTATGCTCACTATATGCTTTTATCTCCAAAATGGTAACTTAACAGGAGAAGGAAAAAACATACTCTACTTTTAATGTAAGTCAATGGAACCAGAATTATCTCCGAGTCATTTTGGGCCGTTTCTTTTGGTCCATTCATCATGAAAGTTACACACAATATAAAGGACAACAGGAATTTTCCGATTAGGTCAAAAACTGAAAAACGTTGTTGAAAAATATTGTTTTTTGAATGCTGGTATGCTGGTCAACCAGCATGTCCCTGCAGGGTGACCAGCTAAAGCAGCACCAGACCAGCATAAACCAGCAGTTTTTTCTGCTTTATAAATTGTTTTCAGCAGGGTCAGCTGTAAGCAATTGCTGAATAAGCGTCAAAGAACAATTGTGCGCTACTTCCTTTATTGTCATGAAAGACTTTTCCAAAGCGAATAATTAACTAACTTGAAAGTCCATTTTACGCCGAGCTCTGCATCTGCCTGTCTACCCACCTACATGGCTGTGGACAGAACCCTGTTTTTGCTCATCTATAATAACTCTCCTGTAGGCTTTGTCGTCACTCTCCAGCCTCCGAGAACTCGCTCTGAGTGCCAAGTGGATTTTCACTTGAATGTCGCAGTGGTGCCCGACAATCTGCGCGGCGCTCGCGAAGCCATCTCGTCCCCGTAATGGCCGATAATTGAGCAGAATCCATCACAGGGGCTGAAAATAGGCTGCCGTAATGACCATAAATTGTAGCCCAGGAAGGCTTAACGCGCGGAGCTGAGGCGGACCCCCGCTGTGCCTGAGCGTCTCCTCAACCTCCAGCTCGCTACCTGGCTCTCTCCAGCTGCTTTCATATATGGGGCCAGTGATTAAAATTATAGCTTCTGAAGCGCCAATCGCTGAATGATGGATCTGGGGAACAGCGCTGCACCCAGTGCTCATGATCTAGTTATGTAGGACATCTTTCACCTGTAGAACCAGCGCTGAATCCGAGGGGCTTCTTTCTGAAGCTGTGAGAGGTGAAATAATCTGCATTTAAGCTGTGGTGAAATATTACATTTACACATTTTCCTCCCAAATGTAGTCAGTCAGCCTAGACACATTCAGTGTCTGAAGGTTGTTGCACTGGAGATTGAAGCTAATGAGCTAACAAATAATGGAAGCCATACAAATTAGCATCATGCTAACAGCTTACCTGCCTCAAAAGTGCCTCAGATTTACACATTTTCCTCCCAAATATAGTCGATCAGCCTAGACATGTTCAGTGTCTGTAAGGTCTTTCTTTAGTGTGGCACTGGAGATCAAGGCTAATGTGGCTAATGCATAATGGAAGCCATACCAATTAGCATCATACTAACTGCTTGCCTGCCTCAAACTGCCTCACATTTACACATTTCCCTCCCAAATGTGGTTGATCAGCCTAGACATGTTCAGTATCTGAAGGTTGGTTCTTTACTTTTGCACTGGAGATTGAAGCTAATGATCTAACGAGTACTGGAAGCCATACCAATTAGCATCATGCTAACCACTTACCTGCCTCAAACTGCCTCAAATTTACACATTTTCCTCCCAAATGTAGTCAGTCAGCCTAGACACATTAAGTGTCTGAAGGTTGTTTCTTTAGTTTTGCACTGGAGATTGAAACTAATGAGCTAATAATGGAAGCCATACAAATTAGCATCATGCTAATGGCTTACCTGCCTCAAACTGCCTCAGATTTACACATTTTCTTCCCGAATTCAGTTGATCGGCCAATACATTCAGTGTCTGAAAGTCAAAAGGTAGGAAAAATGGACAAAATTTAGGCTTCAAAAAGCCGGTTACTCCTGTTTTTAGCTGTGCTAACATACGTTTGTCCATTTTTTATAGATCAGCAAGTCTGTCTAAGACTACTGGACAACTTGCCACAGTCTGAGGCAACTATGTGATGCTTTAGACATGCAGTTAGCACAAGGCTAATTGATGGTTTGGGCCCACAGCTCCTGCACAGAACTAAAGAAGCAAACATGTACTGGCTGGCTGGCTTATTTGGACTAAACTAAACTTATTTTAACCAAACTGTCCCTTTAAGAGATGCTGTTATGGATGCGCATGGCTTGTTTGATCCCTGCCTCGGTCCTCGTAACTGTTTACAGCACAGAGAGCGACTCTGCGTGGAAAATTAGCGTTTTCAGCACATGTAGATTTATTACCGCAATCATTAATGTTGCCCCCCACCATCTGAAACCTGGTAATTAACTCATCTCATTTAAAACGGTAGCTTGAAATAAAGATAAGCCCAAAGACTCACATGGTCCTCACAAGTCGACCATAAATCACGGCTCACTGCAGGTGACTGGTTGAAGGCAAGAGCGGAGGGAAGAAGGGAAGGAGTGGAGGCAGTTTGCCTTCGGCTTGGGGGAACGTGTTTGTGGTGGAATCTCGTAAATGCTGCAGTTCTCTGAGCGATAAGCATAAATAGATCCCAAACCGCTCTCTGGAATTACCACATAATTGGGGACTTTCCGGGCTCGGTGGGGTAACTCTGTATCTCCAAACACGAGGAGCTTTGGAGAAGCGATGCCAAATGATGTTCCTGACCCAGGCGGTCGGATTGCGCTGATCCAGACAGCAAAGCTCTGGAAAGCTCTGCAGATCTTTTACTGTTGTAAGTGCAAACATGGCTGAGGTTTGTGGTTTGACACAGCCGTTTTCCACATAGACCACCATTCCGCATGTAGCGTACAGGCCAAATACACGGAAACCTGCAGTGATCCTTTCGAATATGTTTACAGACTTTAATACCAAAAAGACGGCATGTGAGATGAGAACATCACAAAACAGAATTTAATAGAACATAATAATAATAATAATAATAATAATAATTACTAGAAACATACATTTCCTGAAGGAAGTACTGAATGATTGCATAGCTTAAATGGTTCCCACTTCCTGCTAGGTTGTTGCTAAGTTGGTAGTTGCTATGGTAGCCTTAGTCCACTGCCACCTTAACTTTGCTGCTACCTTAACTTCACTGCTCCCTTAAATCATTGCTACCTTAAATCCACTTCCACCTTAAATCTTCTGCTACCTAAAATCTCCTGCTACCTTAAAAGTGTTGTGTGTGTGTGTGTTTGGTGTGTTATGTGTGTGTGTGTGTGTGTGTGTGTGTGTGGAGTGGGTGTGTTAGAGTATTTGTATCATCGTGACACAAGAAATGTGCCAAAACTTTTGCACTATAATAATAATAATAATAATAATAATAATAGCTTAATAATGCACCACGTTTTCAATGGGAGACCGGTAGGCCAGTCTCACACTTGCATTCTCATTATATATTATTTTAGCACATTATCTTATTATAGCACATTCAGAATGTGGTGCTGTGTAGAAGGCAGGATATATACATATATGCGGGTTACTCAATAATACCCCCTCATACCATCACAGACTCTTAAAATCTGAAATCTTCACAATTTGAAAGATCAACTCATCAGACCACAATACACATTTCCTTTGTGCATCAGTCCATTTCAGATGAGCTCGAGCCCAGAGAAGTCAGTGGTGTTTCTGGACGTTGTTGATATTTGACTTCCTCTGTATATAGTATAGTACACAGCCACCACAGAGCAGGTACTGTTTGGGTGGTGGGTCATTCTCAGCACTGCAGTAACACTGACGTGGTGGTGGTGTGTTAGTGTGTGTTGCGCTGGTCTGAGTGGATCAGACACAGCAGTGCTGCTGGAGTTTATAAACACCTCAGTGTCGCTGCTGGACTGAGAACCAAAAACATCCAGCCAACAGTGTCCTGTGGGCAGCGTCCTGTGACCACTGATGGACTAGAGGATGACCAACACAAACTGTGCAGCAGCAGATGAGCTATCGTCTCTGACTTTACATCTACAAGGTGGACTGACAAGGTAGGAGTGTCTAATAGAGTGGACAGTGAGTGGACACAGTGTTTAATAACTCCAGCAGCACTGCAGTGTCTGAACTTTGAATGGGAATTAATGGAGCCAGATTGTTCTCCAGGTAATTTTGGAGCATTTCTGTTTGGTCCATTCATCATTCATCAAGTCACATGACTGTATTAGTGAATATGTTGTGATATCACAAAAACAGAGAATTCAAAGAAAGGCTGGTTTGCAGCTTGGTCTCCATATATGGACCATTGAGACTGAGGAGTGAACAAAACATCATGAAATTGTTTACATACTACATTTTTTATTGTAAAAAAAATAAGAATATGCTTTTTCATGGTACGAGTCCTTTAATAAACATATATCTGTCTATTATCAGTTTTTATGTTTATTCTTCCAAAGCTCTGGCCTGCACTGCGCTCCTCGTCACAACACTTCAGCTAGACTTCACAATTACGACTCTTTTGTTAACTTCTTTACGTTTCTCTTCACACTCAAGATCCAAATGATTAGACAGTTGAATCGCAGCCTGTTAAAAAAAGGAGGCTGTCTAAGTGACACATGTTGAGTAAGCGTTCAGTGGGAGAGTCATTCAGCACAGCTCTGACACTTCAAAGCGTGTTGAGGTTGAGCCAGAGGAGAGCGCTGCTTTGGCCTCGTGTTGTAATTTCAGACAGTGATGACAGGTAAACTAGCGCGCAGTGTTTACTTGTTTTTCAGCGTGACAGGGAACGCCGCTAGGCTGACTTTTCTCCCCAGCCGCTCAGAGTCTTATCTGCACCCCGGCTGAGTGTTTCTGCGCTTTGATTTGTGATCCGTCATGAATGATTATTCAACTTTATTAACTACAGAGTGCAAGGTTGGTGTTTCTAATAAAGTGGCCAGTGAATGTAAGTACAAGGTTGGTGTTTCTAATAAAGTGGCCAGTGAATGTAAGTACAAGGTGGGTGTTTCTAATAAAGTGGCCAGTGAGTGGAAGCACAAGGTGGGTGTTTCTAATAAAGTGGCCAGTTTTTGAAAGCACAAGGTGGGTGTTTCTAATAAAGTGGCCAGTGAATGTAAGTACAAGGTAGGTGTTTCTAATAAAGTGGCCAGTTAGCGGAAGCACAAGGTGGGTTTTTCTAATAAAGTGGCCAGAGAATGTAAATACAAGGTGGGTGTTTCTAATATAGTGGCCAGTGAGTGGAAGCACAAGGTGGGTGTTTCTAATAAAGTGGCCAGTTAGCAGAAACACAAGGTGGGTGTTTCTAATAAAGTGGCCAGTGAATGTAAGTAAAAGGTGGGTGTTTCTAATAAAGTGGCCAGTTAGCGGAAACACAAGGTGGGTGTTTCTAATAAAGTGGCCAGTGAATGTAAGTACAAGGTGGGTGTTTCTAATAAAGTGGCCAGTTAGCAGAAACACAAGGTGGGTGTTTCTAATAAAGTGGCCAGAGAATGTAAGTACAAGGTGGGTGATTCTAATAAAGTGGCCAGTGAGTGAAAGCACAAGGTGGGTGTTTCTAGTAAAGTGGCCAGTTAGTGGTCAGTTTTTTCTAACAAAGTGGCCAGTGAATGTAAGTACAAGGTGGTGTTCCTAATAAAGTGGCCAATGAGTGGAAACATAAGGTAGGTGTTTCCAGTAAAGTGCTGAGTGGGTAATACATATATTACATATCCATAATTGTATGTAGACATATTCATTAGACAGATAAACAGTTACTGGCACCCCTGCCTGTTTAGCACTTTGCACACTGTCGCTCTGCCAGGATAAAAGTGCTAGATAAGGTGGGAGAACACAGAGACCATGCCTCCATACAGAATCTCTCCAGTGGTACAAACAAGTAGAACCAGCGCTCTCTTTCCTGCAGCCCTGATTATGACATTAGAGTGACGTCTCCTAATGGCTGCTCGGGATGCACGTTTCGATTCGGAGCGCTGAAACATACCTCAGCCATGCTGTGACGCTTGAAACGTCTTTTTGATGATGGTTCTGTCGGGTGGGGAAAGTGGCAGATAGTTTGATATGCTCTGTTTCAGGCTGTTAACGTTGAGAAAACAAAATGTGCTGGATCGCAGCGATGTGAAAACACAATGAAGGCATGGGAATTTTTTTTACGCTGGACATGAAAGTTACACCTTTGTTGAAACTGGAAGTCACATTCGCTGTGAAAACATTCATCTGGTTGGCGTTTCATTTCAAAACATGCAATTAATTATTGTAAGAATTAATTACAGTGATGAACTTATGAGCGTACTGTAATACATTGTGACCTATTGCTTTAATCATTAAAAGTCTTGTTATGATTATTGTTCTGCTGGACTATTTAATGCAATATGATTATATCATTAATCACATACAATCATCTGGGCACCGCTTGCCAAACTATGTTTGTGTTGATTTTCTAAGTGAAAATAAATAAACCCATCCTCTGTGGAGAACACACTACTGCACACTTTAATACACAATTACTACTTATGTGCTGAATTTAACACTGGACAGATGTGGTCTGTGCAAAAGTTATGGCACATTCCATTTATTTTTTACATTTATTACTTGCCAATATGTTAAACTAAGCTAATACATAGAAATTGTGCATTAAAATGTCATATTTAAGTGTTTTGTCTGTAGAGGATGTTTTAACTACTTTTCATTTACAAAAAAACAAAACAAAACGTGTCATTTGACCAGAGGTGCCAAAATGTTTGCATACAATTGTTATGTTGCATACAATTGTTAAACAAGAATATGTTTATATTTTATATGGACAGGTCCACACACTTATTCTATCTTATACTTATAATATCACCATATTTTTCAACATTGTAAAATTTTCTTAAAATTACAACAGTTTTGAGTTAAAATTACAGCAGTTTTGAGTTAAATTTTAAAATTTTAAATTTTCAGAAAATGACAGAAAATGTGCCAAAAATGTGAAAAATGTTTTGTCTTTGTACAAAACAAGACTGTACAAACGATAGTACCTTTTCATCAAATTTCCATCTTAAACTTTTAATCAAATTTTATTTTTATAATTATTATCTGCACCTTTCACAGTGCAAGGAAAAGGTGAATCCAGTAAATTTTAACGTAGCTAACATGCGTTTTTATCGAAATACTGCAATGTGGTATTTTACACAGATAACAATGATTTTTACTGTATGAAAGCTCAGATTTGCATGGTAATATTTCGCCCAAATTTCCCCCAGTTGGGTCATGGCCATTCCCACCTGCTAGCTAGGTCTCCACTGCAACAATGCCAAGCTTTGAGGATGAAGGCTATAGCACATACTACCTCCAAGACTATCGTCTAGTGGGGTCGTACGTGATCTTATAACAGGATACACATCTGTTAAACCTTTGGTGCTGGATTTCGCTCCAAAGCCCACCCACAGATTCCCCCAGTCTGGCTCTTTTAATGCCCAGAATACACTGATAGCTAGCAAAACTATTTAGTTCTTGTACGAGGTCATATTTATTTTCTGCACATGTAGCACATCTACATGCTCAATTGGAGTTTTTGGAGAACTTTTCAGCCATGCTAACTTATGCTACCTCCATGGGCTAGTGACAGGCTTGTTGCCCGCTGGACAGTGTTGACCAGTGCACCATCACCCCCATTTTTGAGCTCCACCTTCATGTGGTGTTGGATCGGTTTAGAAGTTTAACTCTCTGTTTGTTCCACCCTAATAAGTCTATGTTCCCACCAAGATTAGCCCAAAATTTCTCATAGTTCTCGTTATGAGATCATGTCTGTCCCAGCAAGACTACCAACACCATGAAGCCAGCCATTGCATCATTACATACTGCCGCTAATGCAACATCATTGGACA